CGGTTCCAATTATAGCGATAAAGTAATAGTTATATTATAAACAGTATTGTTCGCTTTAATTCTTAGTTATACCTATATAAATAAAAATGTAAATGTTCGTTTGTTCAAAATCGCTAATCTCCGAAAGTTCTTCACCGATTGCTTTGAAATTTTGACACAACGTTCCATTCGCATACGAGCATGTTTTTATATACATACTATAAAGATGTCACGTCTGTGACGGGGAAAAAACATGCTTAAAAAAACTGTGTTTTTCATGTGAGTTTTCATGTGAGAAAAATCTCCAACACCTCTTTACCGATTGCTTTGAAATTTGTACACAACGTTGCATTCAAGTTGTTGTGTTAGATTTAGCTACTCAGAACGAAATGTCCATGTAGCACAGACTATGCTGCTGTCGTTGAATTAATGTTGAGTTTGATGCGCAGGGTTCAGTAGCTTCACATTCCAGTAAGTAGTGCAATAGTGGCGCCTCTGTTTCTGTTCCACAGATATGACACTCTTTAACAATTGGATTTAATACCTCCCAGCAGCACTTGTAACCAAGTCTGAGTCTGTGTATGGCTACTGCAATGTCTCTGGATATCTTTTTTCAGGCTTGAAAGAGTAGTACCCAGTGGCTTGTTCGTACCATATCGCAGTGGATCTTCCTTCAGCTACTTTGGCTATGAGGCGACTTTTGATAGTTGGGAGTATTTTCTTCTTGATTTGCTCCTTAATCTGTGAAAGACTTGGAGTTATTTGAACCTGTATAACAGGTAGAGCAGTGGCAGTTTTTGCTAGTGAGTCTTCCTTTTCATTACACACTATGCTAATGTGACTTAATATCCAATTTAGGGTGATTGACAGCCCTAGATTATGGGCTTCTTTTCCTATATGTTGGATTTCTGTGAGGAGTTGTATATTATTTCTGTGTTGACTGGATAACAATGTCTGGAGCAAAGGTTTAGAGTCTGTTAGAATGATGACATCATGTAAATTATTCTTAATGGTATAGCTTCTTTCAGGGCATATAATTCTGTCTGCAATATTTAGCACCCACTATTCATGCTCCAGTAAGCGTCATGGTTGGTAGTGTAAACTGCTGCCCCAGCAGAACCTCTTTCTTGATCAACTGATCCGTCTGTGAAGATGTGAGTAGTTGTAGGTCTTGAGATGGTTTTTGTTTGTCGTTCTATTACTGTTTTGAGCTTCTGCGAGTCACATGCTGATTTTTTAACTGGTAGTCCTTCAATGATAATCATTAGACTCGATTCTTCCCATGGAGGAGGCTGCCGAAAGTGTTGATATGGTCTATCTTCTCCTTTGTTGTTAATGGTCCATTTCAAGTCCACTTTCTCTTGAATCTTTACCAGATTATCCGTCCATGCACTTGTTCTATATTGAAGGTTTCTCTGAAGCGATCTGTGTATGCTATCTTTGACTGACAGTCTGGCGGTGGTTCCAACAAGTTTTGCTGTTAAGGTGGCTATTCTTTGTTTGATCCTGTTTTATAAGGCTGGTAAGTTCGTTTCCAGTCTTAGATTCTCTCGACGCGTCCATATAGGTGCTCCCAGCATTGTTCTGAGGGCATCATTTTGAGACACTTCCAGTTTCTCCCATTAATTATCACTGAGGGATGTAAGAGCAGGAGCAGCATAGTTAATGAGTGACCTAACTGCTTGAACGTAGTACATTTTGAGTACTGGTAGAGATGCACCCTCTCTAAGACTGGTCAGAGAGCGCAAAGCTGAGTTTCTGGCTTTACAACGTTGCCGAAGATATTAAATTTTTTGAGTGAATTTCAACTGGCTGTCTATTATGACTCCTAGGTATTGAAAAGAGGTAACCCACTCAATTTCATGTCCTTGTATTACGAGTCTGATGTCTTGAAATGTCATTTTATCGTCCATTGCTTTTGTTTTATTGCTGTCTATTTTCACTGCTATGCGTTCCGCTTCCCTGCTGATAATATCTAGGCATTTTTGTGCATGGTTCCTGGCGCCTTTACCATTGATGATGACCACAAAGTCGTCTGCATAGTTAAGCAGTTTGGCTTTTGGTAACTTGAGTTTCATGAACTGTTCCATGAGACAGTTGAAGAGGAAGGGGCTTAGTATTCCTCCCTGCGGAGTTCCATTTTCCAGCCTCTTTGAGGTCGATGTTTTTCCTTGGAATTTGACTGTAGCTTCTCGGTTAAGCAGACTTCCTTTGGCAAAGGCAAGAGTGTGTCCTTTGATTTCCTTATCCACAAGGCAGCACAGTGTAGCTGGAGCAATGGCTATCTTTATCTTGAGTTATCTTGAGATGATTTCGGGGCTTTTAGTGTCCCCGCGGCCCGGTCCTCGACCAGGCCTCCACCCCCAGGAAGCAGCAAGTGACAGCTGACTAACACCCAGGTACCTAATTTACTGCTAGGTAACAGGAGCATAGGATGAAAGAAATTCTGCCCATTGTTTCTCGCCGGCGCCTGGGATCGAACCCAGGACCACAGGATCACAAGTCCCGCGTGCTGTCCGCTCGGCCGACCGGCTCCCTAACTTGCTAACTTGAAGGCTTTTTCAAGGTCTAGAAAAATAAGGATTCCAGGTTTGTCATTGATTTTATCCAGGAGGGAGGTAAGGCATTCTGTGGTTCCAACACCTTTTCTGTAAGCAAACATATTTTGGTGTAGTGGATTGACCTTCCATTCAATTCGTTTAAGAGCCATTCTTTCTGCAGTTTTGGCCAGACCGCTTGTTAATGAGATGGGTCTTAGATTTCCTGGGTCTTTAGGTTTTGTAATGGAAACTATAATTGCACTGTTCCAAGAGAGTGGTCGGGTTCTTGTCACCCATACTCTGTTGATGAGATTCAATAAGGCTTCTTCACCCTTTTCTCCTAGCTTGGCTAGCAAGTTGTAAGTGGTTTTGTCCTTACTTGGAGCTGTGTTTTTAGTATTCTTTGTAGCGCTTCTGAGTTTTTTCAGATTGAAAGGTTGGTCTAGTTCGTCAGGTAAGGCTAAAGCATCATCTATTTTTTTCATCTTGCTGTTTGAAGTCTTTGTTGGTGAGTCAGAGTTGCTTGAGGAAGTTGAGTGGAACTGGCTCTTGAAGCAAATAAATTTGCTAACCTTTCTGCTTCTTGCTTTGGATGAACATGGTGCGGCGGAGCTGGTTGCGAATTTCCTTTGGCCTTGTTGATCTGCCTCCAGATGTCGCCCAAGGATGTATGCTGATTTAGCTTGGCGCACCACTCGAGCCATTTTTCTTCTCTGATTTTTGCTGTTTCTTCGTGCACATGATCTCGGACAGCTCTAAGAAGTCCTAGATTAGCTTCGGTTCTATCTCCTGAAATTCTTTCGTGCACAATTTAGTCTGTTGTGTAGCTCTTTGATCCTATCACCGTAACACCAATGGTCCTCGTGTTGTTTGGTAATTGTTTTCCTCTTGGGGATGGCATGATTCGCTGCTCCATGTATTGCATTTATTAAATATTTTACCATTTCTTCAGTGTTATGTTGCATTCAAATATACGTGTGTTTTTATATACCTACTATATTCATGTCACCTGTGACAGGTAAAAACAGTTTTTTTTTTTAAACAGCGCCATCTGTTGAATGTAAGAGCAACACACGCTTTAATCTCTGAAAGTTCTTCACCAATTGCTTTCAAATTTTGACACAACATTCCATTCGAATACGTAGGTGTTTTTATATACCTACTATATAGATGCCACACACCTGTGACAGGTAAAAACCTTTTTTTTTAAACAGCGCCATCTGTTGGACATAAAAGAAACACACGCTATAATAAATATGTTCCGATTCCATGTCAATGTTTTTGATTGCATTGATAAATTGAATTTTCATAGATTTCGATTTATTTTCATTTTTTGTGTGTGTGTGACATTGAGTTGGAATTGAGCTGTTGCTTACCATTGCGTTCATTTCAAGAGTATAGTATATATATATTTTTATTTTTCATTGTTTTTATTTCGTTTTTTAACTGTTCTTCTTATTTTTCAGTGATGAGAACATCAGATCATTTGATGTTCCCCTTTTTACTGATGGGAACATCAGATCATTTGGGAACGCATCGGACGAGGGAGTGGGGGATGGTGGGGAGGAGGAGGAGGAGGGGACGAGGGAGGGGGTAATGGTGGGCAGAATGAGGGGACGGCAGAGTGGGGGGATAGTGGGGATGAGGGGATGGTGGAGTAGTGAATGGTGGGGAGGACATGGGGACAGGGGAGTAGGGGATGGTTGGGAGGACGAGATGAGGGAGGGGGGGGGGGAACTGTTGGAAGGACGAGGGGACGGGGGAGTGGGGTTGGTGGGGAGGACGAAGGGACGGGGAGTGGGGAATGGTGGGGAGGATTAGGGGACGGGGGAGTGGGAGGATAGTGGGGAGAGCGAGGGGACGGGGGAGGGGGGGGGGGAATGGTGGGGAGGATTAGGGGACGGGGGAGTGAGGAATGGTGGGGAGGACGGGGGGACGGTAAGGGGGGAATTGGTGGGGAGGACGGGGGTGGGTTGCTGTGGCTGAGCAATGCAGCCACAGCTACGTGTGGTCGGTTACGGCTAGTATATATATAATAATAGAGGCTGGGACACAATATGACTACTACTTCAACCTCTACAACAACAACTACCTGCTACTACTGCTACTTTCATTTATAACATTACGGAAATGTATTTTGTGTGACCTGTTTTTATAAAATATAATTAGGTAAAACCTCATCCTTCCCTAAAACACTCAAATTGTAGTCTGTTCCAACCACCATGGTACTTTCAGACTACCAACAAATTAACACTTAATTACCATCAACCACTACACACACACAACTACCACCAAGCATTGCATACTCAACTATCATCAACTGCTACATGGTTAACTATCATCAATTACTACATGCTTAACTACCATCAACCGCAACATGCCTAACTTGTATCAACGGCAATACTTAACTCCCAATTACACCTCAAACTGCCATCCAGTACAAACCAACACATACCGGAAGTCTCCATCCTCTCACCTCACCTGGAATCTTTATCACAGTTCGTATTGTATCTGTTGGGGTCTTGCTGGATCCTCCTGATGCCCTGGTAGGAGCAGTTAATGGAAGCCCAGGTGACCTGATAGTCCCCAGCGCGGTCTGGGAAGGCTCGAAGGACCAGCCCCTTGGTCTCCGTGAGCGGGCGTCGAGTCGAGCACACCACCTTGGAGGAAGACCAGAGACATAGCGGAGGTGAGAGATGATGTCTGTCCATCGCACTTCATGTGAGGTGATAGTAAGTAAACTGAACACGTCAGGTGTGTGATGTCAAGCAGGAAAATCCAAGATGTAATGTATAAGTCCCTGGACACCCTAAAGCTACAAGCCTTAACACAGCATAAAGCAACTGATCTTAATACAGTGTAAAGTAACAAATCTTAACAAAGCAAAAAACAACAAAAGTTAACACAGCATAAAGTAACAACTGTTAGGATAGCAGAAAGCCACACACTAGAATACAACATAAAGCTACAAACCATAAGACATCATAAAGAAACAAACCACAATTCAGTATACAGCCAGAAACCACAATACAGCATACACCCCAAAAACCATGACAGAGCATTAAGCCACAAAGAACAGTAGAGACTAAAGCAACAAACCATAACACATTATAAAGGCACAAACCACAATAGAGCGTAAAGCGATAAAGCATAACACATCATAAAGCCACAAACCACAATAGAGCATAAATTCACAAACCATAACACACCATGAAGCTACAACCCATAACACGCCATAAAGCTAAAAACAATAACACACCATAAAGCTACAAACAATAACACACCATGAAGCTAAAAACAATAACACACCATAAAGCTACAAACAATAACACACCATAAAGCCACAAACCACAAAAGAGCATAAAGCCACAAACTATAACACACCATAAAGCTACAACCCATAACACGCCATAAAGCTACAAACAATAACACGCCATAAAGCTACAAACAATAACACGCCATAAAGCCACAAACCCCAACAGAGCGTAAAGCCATAAACCATAAGACACCATTAAGCCACAAACCCCAACAGAGCATAAAACCACAAACCATAAAACATCATAAAACGATAAACCATAAGACATAAAGCCAGAAACCATAACAGAGCATAAATTAAGCAAAAAAGGAGAACACATCATAAAGCCACACACCAGAACACATCATAAAGCCACACACCAGAACACATCATAAAGCCACACACCACAACACATCATAAAGCCACACACCAGAACACATTATAAAGCCACACACCAGAACACATCATAAAGCCACACACCACAACACATTATAAAGCCACACACCAGAACACATTATAAAGCCACACACCAGAACACATTATAAAGCCACACACCAGAACACATCATAAAGCCACACACCACAACACATCATAAAGCCACACACCACAACACATCATAAAGCCACACATCATAAAGCCACAAACCAGAACACATCATAAAGCCACACAACACAACACATCATAAAGCCACACACCAGAACACATCATAAAGCCACACACCACAATACATCATAAAGCCACACATCACAATACATCATAAAGCCACACACCAGAACACATCATAAAGCCACACAACACAACACATCATAAAGCCACACATCACAATACATCATAAAGCCACACACCAGAACACATCATAAAGCCACACACCACAATACATCATAAAGCCACACATCACAATACATCATAAAGCCACACACCAGAACACATCATAAAGCCACACACCACAATACATCATAAAGCCACACATCACAATACATCATAAAGCCACACACCACAACACATCATAAAGCCACACACCACAACACATCATAAAGCCACACACCACAACACATCATAAAGCCACACACCACAACACATCATAAAGCCACACACCACAACACATCATAAAGCCACACACCACAATACATCATAAAGCCACACATCACAATACATCATAAAGCCACACACCACAACACATCATAAAGCCACACACCACAACACATCATAAAGCCACATACCACAATACATCATAAAGCCACACATCACAATACATCATAAAGCCACACACCAGAACACATCATAAAGCCACACACCACAATACATCATAAAGCCACACATCACAATACATCATAAAGCCACACACCACAACACATCATAAAGCCTCACACCACAACACATCATAAAGCCACACAACACAACACATCATAAAGCCACACACCACAATACATCATAAAGCCACACATCACAATACATCATAAAGCCACACACCAGAACACATCATAAAGCCACACACCACAACACATCATAAAGCCACACACCACAACACATCATTAAGCCACATACCACAACACATCATAAAGCCACACACCACAACACATCATAAAGCCACATACCACAACACATCATAAAGTCACATACCACAACACATCATAAAGCCACACACCACAACACATCATAAAACAACTATTACGAACGACCCTGTAGCCTCGTTCTCGTTAAATTTGAAATATTAGTTTAATTCATGCTAAGACAATCGTTAGAATTATTTCAATTTGCAATGTTAATTGCAATATGGTTTGCAAAGAAAATTATTTTATTATTGGTCATGTTGCAGATGATACTTATAGGAGTTCATCTTGTAAGATGGTTGTCACATAAATGTTGCAAACGGGTTGTCTTTGCAAATTTGCTTTCAGTCTGTATCTCAGTATTGCATCTTTACAGCGAGTCGAAGCTGACTTATTATTTAATTTACCTGTTGCATGTTGCATTTGGAAATTTAATTAGAGCATGCAAATGAACTTGGCATTCATGTGGCATTCTCAATGGTTCCTGATCATTCTAACACAGGTCTCTTCATGCGTATGATATTATGTGTATGATATTATGAGTATGATATTATGCGTATGATATTATGTGAATGATATTATATGTATACTAATATGTGTATGATATTTTGCATATGATATTATGTGTATGATATTATGTGTATGACATTATGTGTATGATATTATGTGTATGATATTATGAGTATGATATTATGCATATGATATTATGTGAATGATATTATGTGTATATTATTATGTGTATATTTTGCATATGATATTATGTGTATGATATTATGTGTATGATATTATGTGCATGATATTATGCGTATGATATTATGAGTATGTTATTATGTGTATGATATTATGTGCATGACTTTATGCGCATGATATTATGCATATATTATGTGTATGATATTATGTGCATGATATTATGCGAATGATATTATGTGTATGATATTATGCATGATATTATGCGTATATTATGTGCATGATATTATGCATATGATATTATGCGTATGATATTATGCGCATGATATTATGCGTATGATATTATGTGTATGATTTTATGCATATGATATTATGCGTATGATATTATGCGTATGATGATATGCGTGTGGATCATTTCTCAACCCGCTCTCCTAACAGAACGTCACATTTTGACGTATACTCTACCGATGGGCGCCTGACAGCTGAGTGGACAGCACTTCGGATTCGTAGTCCTGAGGTTCCGGGTTCGATCCCCGGTGGAGGTGGAGACAAATGCGCAAAATGTTTCTTTCACCCAAATGTCGCTGTTGCCTAGCAGTAAAATAGGTACCTGGGAGTTAAACAGCTGCTATGGGCTGCTTCCTGAGAATAGAGTAACAAAAAGGAGGCCTGGTCGAGGACTGGGCCGCTGGGACGCTAAGCCCCAAAATCAAGATAACCTTGAAATCAAAGATAACCTCTTGATAAGATATGGGCTAAAATTGTCCTAGAAAATGGTAGTGACTCGCAAAATTGACATATTGTTCCGTTTTCTGTTTTAGGTCCTCTGGTAGGTTTGGAGAGGACATTTTAGTACGACAGTTTCATAACGTTCTGAAACATTAGGGAGACGAGCTGCATTTACTGGGTATTTGGAAAATCTACCAAGATTGGGACTTATTGGCAGTGGATGATAACAGCAACAAATCTTAGCAGAACATAAAGCATGAAGCTTTAAGTTGTTCCCAGTTCAAAGTAAAAAACTATAACATATTATAAAGTCACAAACACATTATAAAGTCGGTACCTATAAAGCATTATAAATCACAGCCTAAAGCATACCCTGTGAAGGGTAATGTACACCTGTGGTGGGTAATGTACACCTGTGGTGGGTAATGTACACCTGTGATGGGTAATGTACACCTGTGGTGGGTAATGTATACCTGTGATGGATAATGCACACCTGTAGTGGGTAATGAACACATGTGGTCGGTAATGTACACCTGTGGTGGGTAATGTACACCTGTAGTAGGTAATGTACAGCTGTAGTGGGCAATGTACACCTTTAGTGGGTAGTGTTCACCTGTAGAGGGTAGTGTGCATATTCGTTTGCCTTGTTCGGGTAGAATGTAGACACAGTAGTCGCTTCTGTATATATTTATTGACCGAGACAGCAAGGTATATATCTGCCTAGCCGAGGTCCTTCTACTCTGGGTCTGTGAGGATAACTGAGGCTGCTGGGAGCATGGCTTGACGCTCCTCTGTCTGGCATGACGTCAGAGGCCTACTTGCCTGTGATTGGTTACATTTCAACTGACATAGAATTTGAGTATAACACCGCTCGGACACGCTACCAAGTCGACGTCCCTTGTCGACAAGCTCTGGCTAGCTATATAGTTACAATGATACTGAAAGGACCTCGGTGGCATTCAATAATGGCTTACATGTGAAATTTGCATAATAAAACATTGAAAGAAGATCAGGTGTGCATAATACTAACAACTCGGCATATGCACCCAAAAAAAAAAAAATCATCAAAATAGGTGAAAATCATGGTAACAATGCTTTGATTAAACCAGAGTATTAAGAACATGTGGATGTCTACTGATCAGATATGAACAATACACTCAAAGTATTGCCTAAACAAAATTATTAACATGTGTCAATGGCATGTGCTTGAAAACCATACAAAATTAAACAATTATTACATTAATGGAACAAAGTTCTGACCTAACAACCACAAATGAATTTCAAGATAGATAATGAATTTTTTTTTTTTTTTTTTTGTCGAAATATACAATATATTTACAAGACCAATGTACAATATATTTACAAGCTATATACAAGACCTGGATCAAGAAGACTAACA